GTATGTCATCGAGAGTATTTAAATGATTTTCAATCAGGAAAAAAATGTGCGATTAAAATGCGATTAATCGCGAGTTAACTCAGGCATTGATGCGATTAATCAAAAAATCAATCGATTAAAAAAATTTAATCGATTGACAGCACTAATTTATTTATCTATCTATTTCTTTATTTCTTTCTTTCTTTCTTTATTTATTTATTTTTTGCCACTTCTACATACCATCTATTTTATACTTTTACTTACAAGTATTTTAAATTACTTGGATCAATCTGACACAAACTTTTCATCCCTTTTAATTATTTAATCTCCCTTGCACTCTTTAGTTAGTTTATTCTTAAGGTCTATTATTTATTATTTTGGAATAGAGGCGTCCCTCAAACCCATATTTTTTTTTTAAACCATATATTCAAGTGTTTATTTTTTGTTGGATCCTGCACTTCTACAAACTTGTAATCGTAGATTCTAAATTATCTCTAATTTTACTTTGACCTTTACCCATTTTAAAGAATTTAGTCCAGTACAAACACCTAGGGTATTCTACGCACTGGATGTTTATTCAGCAGGACAGCATCCAAACACCGTTGTGGTAATTTCTGCTTCTAGCTTTTCAGGTGAGAAATTCTTGCCTCTGCGTCCACAAGAGGTATATTGTATTAATTACTGCTGTTTTAGTATGAAACAACAGAACCCAACGGTTCGATTGTTTCCTCACACACTCTCACACAGTCACACACACCTATTCTAAGGCCTAATATATTGTTTTTATTTTAAACAACATAGACAAAAAACACCTATCTTTACGTGTACACTTTAGAGACCCATATGCACAGAATACCGATCCCAGATCTATCACAACAAAACGCTGTTTGTAAAATATTCTTGCGACTACAACCAGTTATAGCTTGAACACGTGTACACTTTGGAGTCTCCAACTCCAGGCCCTCGCACGCACCGGATACCCAGACCGTATCTGCTATCCCTGCTGCGGCAGCTACAAACCTTACTTAGCTGTGTTCTTATCTTAAAAGAACACAGAGGGTCCCAGACCCATACGCACAGAATACCGATCCCAGATCTATCACAACAAAACCCTGTTTGTCAAATATTCTTGCGACTACAACCAGTTATAGCTTTCACATGGTCCCAGACCAACTTTTTATCAAAAGCTTTAGGCCTACCCTTTGGCTGCGCAGATTCAGTCCTCAGCAAGAGTCGTCACCAGGATGCCCAGGGCAGGGCTGGACCAACCTATTGGCCCCGTCCGGCGAAGGGCGGACGGCTGTTGACAGTTTCTTGGCCTTGGTCCCGCACGGTCCTGGACAATTGGATCTTGACTCCCGGGTTTCGGCACCAAAAATGTTAGATCCAAAATATTGTGAGTTCATATTTCAAATTTCATATAGGACAAAAATGAATCTGAAGCACAAAAGGATTTTCAAACAGCTTTTCCTGCAGGAATGAGAAAGGCTGCTGCTCACATCCCAGCACCAATCTGACCCCCAACAGAACAGCAGAGTCTTTTATTCACAGAGCAGAAACAGATGGGTGGGTTTTATGACCCTAGAATGACCAACTGGCTGAGAGGCAGGTCATATAAGTTTATGACCCTGTAAATGCCTTCTGGCTGAAGGCAAGTCTAGAATGACCCTCCTAATTGAATCACAGGACAGAATGTAGCATCTTATTTCTTCAATGTTTCATATGCACATACATTTTTTATAATTGACATTCAGTAACTCTAACAACTATCTCATTATAATGACTTTGTTTTAATAATTTTTTTAATCCACCAGATTATGTATGACAAACAGCTAAGGATTATGCCCTGGCAACCTTAATTTATTATCCCAACCATTGTCCCATTCAGTACAATGGATTTGTGGTGGTTAGCAAGGAAAATGAGAGTGTGTTCACAGGAGATGAAACAAAGAACTCACCAGCAATATGTTCTTCAAGCTTTGGACCAATCAAAATAATGCAGCATGCTCTGTGTTGGAGTCTGGAGGTTTATAGGAAATTTTGAGTTTCACTACATGGTTCCTATTTTGAGACATTTTTTCTTTACCTGAGTTCATTGTCTATAACATGTGGGTGAGTTTTACAACAGATGTCAGTAATCCCTATGGTGGGGGTAGTTGGGGGTTGTGGAGTTTGTTTCTACCAATCCAAATATGGTATTCTGTGCATGTAAACATAGCTAACAATTATTATTTGTCCATGAATATCTGCTAATTCAATTCAGTTTAGTTTTTCTTTATAGTGTCAATTCACAACAGATTTCATCTGACGAACTTTACAGAGACCATTCAACCAGATCATACTGTCAGATTGGTACAAAGTTTTCCAAGGAAAACCAGCTGATTGCATCCACTGATTGCCGGGACCGACTGGGGTTCAAGGAGACAGAAGCAAAGATAGAAAAAGAAGCAGAGCTACAACAAGCAACTGTCAACCAGCTCCACAGGCGGCCCCGTCCAGGAAACACACAGCCAGGCAGACAAGCTCATCTCCCATGTCAGAGGATGAAGAGAGCACACCCTGTTAGTCACAGTTAGAGAAACAAGACTACACTGAAAAACAGGCAAATCTCCAACATCTATAAACAGAGGTGTTGATGGCAGCAGTCACAGCCAAACAGGAACAGACCAGATGAAGCTACTATGAGAAAAAGCAGAGAGAGCAGAACATTAGAGATTGAACAAACCAATTCTGTAGAGTGGGAGAATAGAGATAGAATGAAGCAGAAATTATGAAAGAGGGGTCCCTATGTAATGAAAGTAATCTATGTTTGCTTATAAGCACAGGCAAAAACAAATATTTTAAGATGTCCAAATTATTATTTTATATCATTTTATATTTTTTAATTATTACAAATCTAAAAACACATGTTAATTCATTCCCAGACTCTACCAAAGCCTGTTTTAACAGTGAGGTTGGAGTCTAGAATCCATTGTTCTGAAGCCAGATGGGAGTCTGACTGTTGCTGATTTATTATTTCACATAATAGCCAAAGAAATTATCTAAAATACACTGGAAATAATGAATCAGTCATTTAGGTTTTCAGATGACTAATGGGTCTCAGTATGAAAAGGATCCAAATCCTTTGACCAAATTAACAGTTAAACAGTTACCAGTCCTAAAACCAACCTTCTCTAAGTCCATCTCAGTTCCCAGACCTGAACCCTGAAGAAAACACTTCCTCTGAACAATCCCTGGGAGCTGCAGCCTTTTAAAGACATGGACTTAAACTTTGATCCAGGAAGTCAAACATTACCAGGATTATTCCTCACTAGTCTGAGGTCGATATCAAATGGATCTGGGTGCTTTAGTTCTAAACAGTTTCCACCTTTTAGGAGATAATGTGAATTATTGTTGCTAAATAGAAGGTTGATTTGCAGTTCTAATATTTTTCAGCAAAGACATTAACCCATAGATTACTGTAATCTGTCCTGTACTGGAAGCCACTTTAGTCGACTCAGCATGACTTTGGTTCTGGTTCCATCATCATAGCAGAGCACCATCCCAGCAGCTCCATTCTCTACGGTTTACGATTTAAATATCATTTGATTATTGTTGTATTTTATTATGTTTTTTTTATTTCCTTCAATTCTAACATCAGCAGTTTAACTTTAATGTCTTTACTTCTAAATCTCAGTAGACCTGTAGTTAATCTAGTTGTCCAGCAGATGGCGATCTCTGACCTTGTTTGCCTGCATCATCCAACCTTCAACCCCAATAAATTTCCTTCTGCTTCATTTACTTTCATTTAGAAACAGGATTTGTTGGAACAAACAAGCATAAAGTCGACAGAGTGAAGCTGGTGAAATGGCCGCTTCAGCTGATATTTCAAACTCAGGTCAGAGATCTTTTTATAAAACTTTCCCTTAAACTTTATCCTTTTTGGATTATATTATATATCTGGTAAACTGTTATTTTAGTGGATAAATATGTTAGATTCAGATACTTTGACTTTAAACAGAACATGAAGGTCAAACAAAATGGCTCCCTCTGCTTTTCTAGCTTTTCTTATGATACTATGGTTTTTATTTGTGGAAACATTCTTAGTCATTATTTTTTATTGTACTAATAGAAACGTGGACTTAAATTAGAAAGTATTTCCTATGATTGCCTAAATAAAGTAGATGTTTATAAACTGTGTGATAAAATAAAGCCTTCCCTCTCTTAACAGCACTGAGCCGCCCTGCTACAGAACTGAGGATTGTGTTGATAGGAGGAAGATATGATGACCTTTCTAGCGGTAAAAGCTCAGCTGGAAACATCATCCTTGGTCACAATGTTTTTGACACCAGCAGAAGAACAACTCAGAGTGAAGCGAGGCAGCAGGAAGTACTCGGCAGACGACTCACAGTGGTTGATACTCCAGGATGGTGGTGGTATTATCCAAGAGAAGAGACCCCAGAACTGGATCAGATAGAAATCCAGAATAGTGTCCATCTGTGTCCCCCAGGACCTCATGTCTTTCTTCTGGTCATTCCTGTTGGTTCACATTTCTATCGCCGTGTCAAACCATCTCTAGAGGAACACCTGGAACTTTTCAAAGCAGATGTTTTCAGTCACACCATCGTGCTGTTCACTGCAGTCCATCCATGTAGTGATGAAACCATTGAATCAGAAATCAGAGGAAGTCCAGACCTGCAGTGGATCCTTCAACAATGTGGAAACAGAAAACATGTTCTTAACATCAGCAGCAGAGAAGATAGAGATCAAGTCAAGATGCTTCTAGAGAAAATTGAGGCGATGATTGAACAGAACAGGGGCAGACACTGTTCTATTGATGAATCTGATGGAAATGCTCTGAGAGAGAGACTGAAAGATTTGGTTAAAAAAGCCTCAAAAAGGTTTGATGGAGTTCAGAAACAAAGAAGAAACCTGAAGCTACAGATTAAAGGTAATTCTACTTTCTTTCTTTCTATCAGGATAAAGTGATAAATGTTTTGCAGATGTCTCTGGGAGCTTGACATACAAAGCACATTATTTAATAATCACTTTTGGAATTTTTTTTTTATTGTTGGTAAAATAAAAAAAGACCAGCAGACATTTTAAAACAAATTGAATCTAAGGATTCACATAGTTAATTTATTTTCTCATACAAACACCAATAAACTAACAGACATTCTTTGACAAATTTTGTATTTTTTCTCCACATTATCAACTCTACTCTAAACAGACCTGAGCGGCAAACTTTAAAATAATGAATTATTTGTTTGTTTTTATGATTTAGGTAGAAAAGTTCTTCCAAACCATTTGAGAATATTGATAATTGGTCATTCATATGCTGGAAAGAGCTCCGCAGGAAACATCATTCTAGGAAAAAATGCATTTGGTATTAAAGAAAATGTTGAAAGAAAGACAACAGTCAGTGAAATAGGCCACAGTGTGATTGAAGGAAGGCGGCTCACAGTGGTGGATTCTCCTGGATGGTTCTGCATCCACACCCTTCAGGACACCAGTGAAATGGACAAACTGGAAATAGAGAACAGTGTGAATCTCTGTCCTCCAGGACCACATGCTGTGCTGCTGGTTATTCCTCTGGCAATCAACTTTGATCCATCATATCTGAGATCTGTCCAGGAACACATGAGTCTGTTTAGAGAAGAAATCTGGAAACACACACTGGTTCTGTTTACCTATGGTGACTGGTTAGGAGTGAAGACTGT